CAAATGACTCGATGGCACATAACAACAGCAACAACAATATAATATGGTCTCTAAAGTACTGAAGTGCGACGATGTCAGTCTGGAGATTAAGGTGTGCCTGATATATGCCATGGGCTTTGCAATCACTTGCTATACAATCAGAGAGCTGGACAATGACTAAGAATGATAGAAGGAGAATTGATGCCTTTGAACTGTGGTGTTTGAGAAGAGTATTGAATATACCATGGACTGCTAAAAAAATGAACAGTTTGTCCTGGAGAGGATGAAGCTAGGCTGCTCCTTAGAGGCAAAGATTCCAAAGCTTCATTTGACATACTTTGGACATGTTGCAAGGAGGGACCAGTCTTTGGAGAGGGATGTCACGCTTGGGAGGGTGGAGGGACAGTTCAGGAGAGGAAGGCCCTAGATGAGATAGATGGACTGATTCAGTGACTGCGGCAATGGGGGTAGATTGTGAGATTGGCACAGGAAAGGGCAGAGTTTAGGGGTGTTATACATAGGGTCACTATGAGTTGCAAGCCACTCAATGGCACATAACAACAACAATGACACAACAGCATAATATTGAGTATTACTTCATTTGTTCCTAATAGTCACCTTTCTCAACTCATGCAAGATAAATATTATACTCATGTAAAAGGCAATTCCCTCATTAACAATATTGTCTAATACAGTGTTGTAAGATGAGTCCACAAGGTAAGAAGGTGCCCAAAATGCACAGTGACCATAACAATGGACCAGGGAACTCCTTACAGAATGTTTCCTTTGTTAATGCGTGGGGTCACCATGGTAGGAGCTGACTTCAGGTAAAGACAACAACATATATCATTTAACAATCAGGTGCAGCCTTGGGAATGCTCATCAGGCTGTGCCAGTAATTCTGGAGGACAGAGATCTGGCCAACTTATTGAAAGAGATTCGTATTTATTACTAGTCCCCTCCAAAAGGTTATCCAACAGAGTGGAAATTACCAAACAATATAACTAATACTACATGCAAGCAAAAACCAGATTCATACTGGAGGTGGAGAAACCAGACTGCTCCTTGGAAGCAAAGATTTTTAAGTTCTGTCTTATATACTGTTGGCATGACGCCAGGAAGGACCAGTCCTTGGAGAAGGACATCACGCTTGGAAGGCTAGAAGGACAATGTAAGAGAGGAAGACCTTGGATGAGACGGATTGACACAGTGACTGGGATTATGGGGCCAGGTTTGTCAGGGAAGATGAGATTAGCACAGGGTAGGACAGGGTTCAGAGCTATTGTCCATAGGGTCACTATGAGCAACAGGTGACTCGACAGCATATACCTACAATATCTTGTTTATGTGGATATTAAAGATCACATTTATATACCATATTTCATTTACATATATATGACGCGAATATTTGCAAAAATAAAACTAACTGTGAGAACACAGTAATGGACATTTAGTGGCTCTAACCTTGAGTGTCCTATGCCCTTCTTGTTGGCATCCTGTCACTCAGGACCACTATGATCTGCAGTAAGTTTTGCATGCTTCAGTGGTGAGATGAATGCTGGAAAAATTATGTTGAATGAATGAAAGCTCCCTTGTAAACATATACTCATTAACAAAATG